GTAATAGGTATCCAACATTTCAAAACTTTATTACTTAATAATTTTTTTGGTGAAATGACAAACCTCGAGTCACTTATCGGTTGTAACGATGTGGTTAAACGTGATTAAAATGATGATAATATGAGCCATTTTGGGACTGTTCTTGTAGAAGAAATTTATAAGAAAAGATAGTATACTTATGAACTTCTGTATAGTACTATAAACGTTTACTATTTTGTTAAGCGTTGGAGAGTTTGATAGAGTCAGAAGCTTTGGTAAATTGAAATTTTAACATTATTAACATATAAAGTTAATAACAATTACGTTACCAACTAAAAGACAATGTCCCGTGGGAACTCAATAGGATCAACAATGAAAAATTAAATTGATGAACATAGCTTCGCCCACTTTCCATTAGAGTATACTCAATGATTTTACCGCTTCGTAACACAAGAAAACAAAAAAAGTTTACTGTCAAATATTTACAAGAATTCTAACGCCCGGTTTCTGAAACAATGATCACCATAAAAATTACCTAATCAGCTGTCAATTGTCAATTGAGTTACCAAAAGGACGGTTAAACTCTTTTAGTAGCGAACGGTTTGTTCATCCATAAGTGCTTATACAATAAGACGAATGAGCTGGTGGTGAGTTATCAAGAAGTGAAGTGAACTGTTCGTCCTCCATCTTCTATTTAGTAAAAGTACCTAGGCCAAGAAAGAGCGTTTTAAATATCACTGTTATTGAAAAAATTAATGACGATGTTATGATTAAAGATGACTCAGTGGCTTTGGAGCCTAGGGTCTTGGCTTCGATTCCCACACGGTACAAATATTTGTGTGCCACATGGATAATAAATCCGGATCTGGCTGTTTGTACCCATGGTTTGACGTCAGGCAGGTAGACGGTCGTAAAAAAACTTAACTATTGACATCATGATTCACATGTTGTGCCGAGTCCACCTAGGTGGGGTAAGGGCAGGAGAAATAAGAAGATGAAGATTGCAGAGATGGAATTTTCTGTATAATTATGTGGTGAGATAAGAGCAGGAGAAAGAAGAAAATAAAGATTCCAGAGTTGGATGGATGGGGTTTTCTTTATAATTATGTTGTTGCTCAACGAGTAAATAATGTCATAGCTCATTCGTCTCATCAGTAGCAAAGTCTTTATTAATCTAAATTATTTTAATAATTTCTTCTACTTAAACAAAATGTTGGTCGAGTTTTAAAATCTTTTTGCAATACTAATATTGAAATAATGTTTATCGTTGTGAAATTTATATATAATTTTGAAATACATTTTGATTATATTTTGTACACAAAACCAAATCTACGGTTTGCATCATTGAGAAGTCGACTGTGTTAAGAGTGGGGTAGACTTCGAAATATGATGGTAGCGTTACGGGGCTGACAAATAGCAGGGTCGATGGTATAAACAATGCAGTAGAACGTAAAGCCACAATACTCTGACAGCGATATCGGCACTTGTATGCCTTCACCACCCGCCACCCCCCAGCTGAGCTTGGCTTAGCATCGAAAGCAACATATATAGCGCTACGGACGGACACGTGGACTGTACTTTTATATGTGTGAGAGAATGTCGTAATAATAAACGTCATGGTTTTCTAGGCAAGATGGTAAAAAAACTGTAGAGTGGATTGTTTTTTTAAATTTTAACAATTTATTTTATTTAGTTTATTATTTTACTGTCTGAAACAGTGACAAAAACAAAGAAAATTTCAGATTGTTAGTGTTCAGTGATAATTTCCTAATGCTATTCTATTTCCTGTCTATTAAGAACTTGTTTTAACTTAGATAAAATTGTTACTTTAATTAAGGTATCAAGTATAAGGTTCATTAAGTAAATCAACCATCGATTGCACCAACATCCTTGCCCAATGAGGATAATATCACCCTGAAAGAGCAAATTTATACTTTCAACTCGCTAAAAATTTTGAAAAGTCTTACAAATCTTAGGCTAATAAATAAGAAGTATGATAAACAGCAAAGGTCACCGTTAGACTGTTCGATTAGATTTAATAAGTAAAAGTATAATTCCCTAAAAGTTGAAGGGAATAAAATTGTTTTATATATTAAATGATAATGAACATATTAAATGAATGTTTTAAAAGCACAATATATGAGTATTACATTACACAGAAGAGTTTTTGTAGTAAAATATAAGTGTAGCCTTTGTTATTCCTAGTCAACAAAACGCGGCGTCTCCATTGCTTCGTTGTTCTGCAAGCGACAGTGGATCCGCGGGTGTTCACTTCAGTAGTGGCGACCACGTGACAATAGATACAGCCTTCAGTCAAGGAATATTTTTTTCTCTATTCTTTATAAATTAAAAAAAACGGTAATCGGCGAAATTACAACTAAGAGGTCAACATACGTAGGGTAAGTGTTTTAAATTTTTTTATGAAATTATTCGTTAACTTACGCCTTTAATAACTGTTAAACCATACTGCAGAACGGTAACAATTGCAGGAATGGAGAATATCTTATAAGAAATAGATATATGAACTATATATGTTTAAAATTATTAAATAAAAATGTCTAGATGTTGTTTAACTTTTGTGAACTTTAATGCCAAATCACAATTCAATCTTTAAAATTTTCAGACATAATTATTTTAAAATAAAAATAGAAAACATATATGCTCAAGTAGAAATTTAATTTTACGCGTTGACACTATAACGCCACAAAAATCTATAACTTCAATTTGAGGATGTATTTAAACTAATTATAATTAACATGGATTTTAGTAATAAATTCCCCTTGGCGAACGACACGAATAAAATCCGGCACCAACATGTGTCACTGGATGACACGTGTCAAACTTTTGGCGCGAAAAGACCACACGCTCCCACAAGCCACCATCGAAACTGTCGGTGTATACGGAAAAACTCCACAAATTATACTCATTTACTAGTAATTTAATAAAGTTAACTAAATTATAGACATTTAATTCAATTTAAGAGCTGTCGTCGCCGCCCGTGGCTACAATAGTTCTTAGTAACTTTTTGTAATTATGTAATACTTAATATTATTGAAAATCTTTAATTCTGACTCCTTCCATTTGGTGGAAAGAATATTTTTTTTGGAAATGTAAGTGTGGATCGGCTCATAACGTGGGATCAGAAGAAATAGAAAAAAGTTTTAGATAATTATGTTATAAATAAAATACAAGTTATAAAATGTAAACCTTGCCTTTTTTAATGAAGTTTATTTACCTTTTACTAAATTAGAAATAATTACCAAAGCGATAATTTTTTTTCTAAAAAATTTCACAATTTATAATAGGTTATCAATTATGAAATACTGACACTAAATAAATTAAAACATAATTGGTGTTACGGTTTTTCCTTTTGTCCATAGTTAAGTCGACGTTAAATATTTTTAGCAGCCTATTAATTATTTTGCTTCAACCCACGCTCAAGTAGCTCTAATTATTTTGGGGTTTTGCTACGTTTGCTTTCGGATTCCATTCCGATTGAAATTAAAATTTTTCTCAATAGCCTCGCAAAATATCCATACTAAAAAGGTTTCATTTGTTAGTTAAAAGGTTGTTTAAAATTTGAAAAAGGAAGTGTCATGTCCTACTGGTTTTAAATAAAATCTAATTAAGGTTAATTTTAAAATAAAAGTGTACCGTCCCACGGGATTTAATTAAAATCTAACTAAATGTAGTCTTTTCAAACTGTATACAAGAGCCCATTAAAATGGTCAAAAATCTTTATTATAAATATTTTGAGGCATTAGATTCTTTATGTATTTAATAATTACACAACATATTATCAAACGTCACATATTAAACTTTTTAACAATTGTGGCGCGATTTCGTACTCTACGATCAGATTTTATCGGAAAACAACAATAGCAGCGCGTTTTCAGCAGATACAAAGCCGATTCTGTTCTCTGTCAAATAGAATTAGAATTTGACATTATCCTTAAAATCTGACAGCGTCAGTTACAGTGTCAGATTTTAATGATAATGAATAAATAAACGTCAACGACAAAAAATCCCTAGTGTTAAGCTTCTGGGATACAAATTCGCAAACATAGATCAGGAGACGACATTCCCAACCACAAGTCATCTAGACACACTGGCATTTAAATTTGAAATTTATTGTTTGAATTCCGTTTCTTCATTTATTTTAAATTAATGTATAAATAAACTTCCATATTTAAGACCTGTCATCCGTCCTATTTTATGTCGATGAACCGTTTCAAATTTCGACATTCCTTCGATAGGAATACAATTAAGAGGTTCGCCTCGTCGTTTATTATGCGTACAGCAATGGACATAAATTAAATAATCAGCCGCGTCAGATCTTCCGTCCGATTTAATGTCGTCTTCATCGCTACAGCTAGCTAAGATAGTTTTAGCCTTTACAGCCATAGAGTACATCACCAGTACTTACTATTATGTGGGATACAAGCATTGGCAATACCTCGCTTTTTATAGATGATCAATCGTACAAAAAGATAAAGATATGTAGAATAATCAGACTTCTATCTATATCTACTCTCATGACTATAGCGCCGACGTTACGTGTAAAGTATTCGTTGCTGCTCACGAAATAGGATAAAATTCGTAAAACACTAACTCGTCGCTACGAATACGTAATTAACTTTTTACACTAAGACACAAAGACCTTTGGTACTTTTTATCAAAGGTCTTTGTGTACAAAGTAATATACAATAACACAATTTAATTCGCTGATTTGAATGCTGAAACTTTTTAAATCAATTTACATTTTACGATATACATAAGTATCTACTTAATTTATATAAATAAATTCATGAAAAATATTACAGTCGCATGGAATTATATTTTTATCTTATAATAAACATAGTGCCTGTTTATTTATATGTATATAGGTAATTATGTAAGTTTTTTTGGTAGGTAATCTGTGTGATGATAGTGGTAATATCTATTTATTTTCAATACCAGTTTTATTCGCAAACCTCAGCATAAATAATTTCGAGTAAACATAAACGTGGTTTACAACTCAGATGGAGGAGTCGCTGGACGGCCGAGAGGCTGGTGCCGGCGCGGCGGGGTTCGATTCGGCGGCAATTTTAAATGACGACGTGTCACCGACAACCAGCTTCTGTTACAACATACCGAATCTGTTTAATGGGTGAGTTCGATTTTTTGTGAAAACTTGATGTTGTGCCAATGGACATTTACAAAACCTGAAAGTTGCAGATGTGTTACCATCCATAATGTGGCCTCCAGTTCCCCATCATCTGACGTATCACGAAAGTATAATTACTTCCACTTCACGCCGGTCTTAAAGAAGTTGCTGCGTAGCCCTACCAGATTCAAAATTTAGTTAGTCGAATAGTTGAAACCTTTACGAATGAGTAAATTTTAATTTACTCATTCGTAAAGGTTGACGACTTGAAAAGATTGATGAACTGTTAAAATTTGTTTGTATTTTATTTCTGTACAAAACATTGGCAAGTGTCGTTATTATAGATCGTTAATTCCTTATCAACATTAAAGTGGTCCAAAATTACAACGGGTAAAAAAAAAGAAATACGTAAACGTATGCAATGTTACTACAAACTTTTTAACATTTACATACAAACTGAAAAAGCTAATACATTTATATAGCCTCTATCTGGCTTCCTTCGCAGAAGTCGCAGAAGGTATTGGTACCGATTTGTATTTTTTTCATAAATATTCTTACTCATGATATTTTTCTTCAAGATGGCAATTAATAATTTCATTGATGCCGTCATCGATAACACACAAGATATTTACGAGGATTTGAATCAGGTTGCACAGATATATTGAAATCGTAAGCGAACGGCCTGACCTTAATATTACATGGCTCCTCGAGAACATTGTCTGCTTTGCTTTTCAGTTTGGGTCCTGGATCAGTTTTGTGCGAACGACCCGAGACTGAAGCCAGTGATGCGTACGCAGCCAGCACTGAGCACACTGAAGACAACGCCGAATCCCAGCAGTACGAGGATGATGAGGAATATTCACCTAACTCTAGTAAGCGAGTTTACTATTCGCAATCGGCATGATCTCAAACGATAAACGCACGTGGTGATTGGTTATTCTAAGGCTGAACCGTTGAATCGTATAGGAGGAAATTGATGTTTTCAATTGGGTGGGTTAAACCCTTTAAATAGCTATGATAAGTTAAGTTTTTTATGGAAAGTGACGTTAAGGCATTTTGACCAGTTATGCATACAACAGCCTTAGGGTGAAGAGTTGGACTGGATTAACTCACCAAACGACGAAACGTATTACATTTCTACTTAATACGGCGAGGACGCGGTACTTTTCCGCATGCCCACTAATTTAGCCACTGCTGGTTTGTAGCCTTACCAAAGACAAAATTAGTTTACCTACTTATTATGTCTACTTGAGTGTCAGTAGTGTTTTCATAGGTCCTAAGATGTTTACTTTGTATGGTTTGAGCACCTACTATTAGATACTACCCTTTATGCTTGAAGAATATTTTGTTTTATATTTATTTATTTATTTATTTAAGTTTTATTAGTAAACCAAAATGAAAAAAAGGGAACAAATGGTGGACTAAAGACATTTTCTAAGAGTCGAGGTAGGATGTAGTGAGAGCTTATGGTAGGGGCGCGGTGCAGCAATGGTTGCAAAAGTTACAATTTTTTTTGATACTTTTACATTAATTTATTGACTCGATGAATATTTTTCTTCATTTTCTTGTTAGATCATGTTCTATCTTAAAAAAATTATTAACATTCCTTAAAACCATTTTTTAAATAGTAAATATTTCTTTTATCTCTTTAAAGATTCCAAAAGCGATGTCCCGAAACGCAAGCAAAGGAGATATAGGTAAGTGATATAAAATTTTATTTGGAATACTTGAAAAGGTCATCGTGTAAAAATGAAACTGTATTTTAAATGGTTCAGGGATATCAACAGTTTAGTAACTATTCGCAGGAATTTAGCGAAATAAAGCGATGGCTTGTGTTTGTAATATTATTATAAATACGCTTATACTCTTTAAATATATAACCGTACTAGCTGCTGCCCGCGACTACGTCTGCGTAGAATAGGCTAAAGGTGTAAAATTCATACAGAAAGACAGATATACATAAAAATATGTACATAAATCATAGCCTATGTCTTATTCTGATGTATAAGCTATATTATTGTAAAGTTTCATTAAAATCCATTCAGTAGTATTTGCGTGCGTGAAAGAGTAACAAACATCCATCCATACATACAAACTTTCGCGTTTATAATATTAGTGAGGATTATGCTCTAGCACACTTGCTGTTTATTTCGAAAGACTCAGTAATTGTAAAATATGGAGACTAATGAATATAATAACTTTTGAACACGTCAAGTTGGCCTCGGTAAGGAGCCCTAAAAAGCTCGTGCGGATTCCATGACTAAAATGTAAGGACATTGATGTTTTAATATGAATAATATTGGAGTAAAACGCTATAAGTTGAGGAAAAGTTTGAGTGGTCGTAGACTTAGCAATTTAATTTTGTGAATGTGAATTCCTGTCAATAAACATCTCAGAAAATATTTTTTAATTTTTAAGTTATAATTTAAAAGTTTGTTTTGAATTTATTTTACAGAACGACTTTTTCCAATATCCAACTTGAGCAATTAGAGGCCGCGTTTCATAAAACTCATTACCCTGACGTGTTCTTCCGGGAGGAGTTAGCTATGAGAATAGATCTAACAGAAGCCAGGGTACAGGTAAAATTTATTGTATTCAATAAATGTCATTGCCATAAGAAGATCAAGATCAATAGAAAAAAAGGCTTTTTAAATTATTTATCTAAACTATACGTTTCATTGTAGTAACCATTAAGTAGGTAAAAGAGGATTTATTGTAAAGTTATGTTACACCTTTTGCGTCTCAAGACATAAACAGATACAAATTGACAAGTATATTAGTGTCGTGATTACAGGTGTGGTTTCAAAATCGACGAGCGAAGTGGCGAAAGCAACAGAAGGCTGGGTGCGACAGCTACCCAGGTCGAGGTGGAAGGTCTCCAGATCCCAGATCTCCATCGGCATTGGCATTGGAGATGAGAGATTTTATAACGATACCAGGTCTGCTATCCTACGATATCAAATAGCGTGGAAGAATCGTGTTTCATATATTGTAAAAGCTATCGTCACAGTAAAGTAATATAGTTTTAATTTTAACTACAATCACAAAAGGTCAACAAAAAGTATTAAAAGAAGGAATATATAGTAATTAATCATATAAAACGGAGCACAACTAACAATTATGTTTTAAATCAAAAATTTTCAAGTCTTACGCATGTATTAATAAATAATTCTTATTAATTCATGCATGAATACTTTGTATCAGAATTTCTGACATTCTGACATCATACCATTACCAAACAACAAACATTATTATTAAAATTTTAGTTTAGTCTAGTTTTTGCTGTTTGTAATATTCATTTTTATTTAAAAACTAACTGTGCCCGCGACTTCATCCACGTGGAATTTAAAATAAAAAAAATGTAAAATTAAAGTAGCCTAAGTTACTCCTTATTACATCAGCTATCTGTCAGTGAAAGTCCCGTCCAAATCGGTCGAGCCGTTTCAAACAGAGAGCCGGAACAAACAGACAGAGAGACAAAAATTGTAAAAAATTTTATTTTGGGATATGTACCGTGTATACATCCATACGTATTTAGTAAAACGGGGTTATTTTAATATTACAAACAGACACTCCAATTTTATTTATCTGTATTGATAAGGAATTAGAAGTTTAAGTAATTGTTTTTTTAAACTTCTGAAACTTGTATTTGCATTTGGTTCTTGCGCTACAAGCGATCTATCTTCAATATAGACTGATTTTATAATAATATTCGGTTAGGAGAAAAATGTAACTTAAGTTCTGTTTACCTACTTTCAGTATCTTCATCACAAGTAATTAATTTGGCGGAATCATCAAATCTTAATAATTACGGGTCCAAAGCTAAACAACCTGCACCCGCGATTCACATATCGGCACTACCAACAAGGCAAAACTCTCAAATAGACCTTCCCTCATTTTCAATACCATTACAATATAACCTTGGAAGTTTTAAAAAGATTGGCGAAGATGTACATTTGGATCTGGAAGCATCTACGTCTGAGAACGTTCAAGTGCAAAATCATTGGGACTCTAGAATGTTATCGGGTTATAATTTGATGAATATAAAACCGCTTCTAGAGAGCCGTGAAGGTATTGATATGTCCGAATTGAAGTATGAAGTTAAAAATGAGAATGTAAATAGAATTAATTTCAACGAAGTCCCTGATACATCAATACACAACACAAATATTGAAGCTGAAGATATTCTTGGTAAAGAATCTGTGAATGAAGGGCAGACTATATCACCGGACTTCGAAATTGAGAGATATCAAAATTATAATAGTGAAAGTGACAAAAGATATAGAGAATCAACATTCGATGAGTCAGTAATCGAGGATGGAAGAAACGATTTCGTTTGCGACAGTGACTTTCTTTGTAAGAGCAATTATGAGAAAGCAGACGAGAAACGTAGTGAAATTCGAGGAGTGTCATCTATTAGACGCTGACAACAATGTAGGCATGAGTAATTTTGAAAATAATTTATAATTTTTTAAAACAGGATGTGTGATTTTTATCAATTAGTACAATAAATCATTCTAGTCAAAATGTACTTTGTGTTTCCTTTAGATTTAATAGTCGCGTATATCATGTTTAGTCATATCAAGAAGATGAAACATTTATTGTCATTCATTATCTTGACAGTGAAATTGAACTATTGACTCGAAATCGAGTTCTCGGAGTTTAATATTATGATTTAGTATGCTATTTTTTTTTTTCAAATAGTTCTCTTTACAGTATTCGTCATAATGCAGTGCGGAAGCATTTAAAAACTAGGCTATTAGTTTGCTACCGACATGTTTGACCGTGCTGCGGTGGTGATCGTGCGATAACCGACAAACGGCTCTATTTAACGTTTTAAATACATTGAACTTTTTAATGTTACGGTTCATGAAGGTGGAAAATGCTTGCAGGAGCCTTCGTCAATACAGCTAATTATTTATTTAAAAGTTATTTAAATAATGCACTTTATTGTTTCTCAAGTGACTGATTTTCAGTAAATACTGCATGTTGTAATGTTTTATATTGTACAGATATCAGATGGAAATAAAAAAGGTCTACTCTTTCTTACATTAATAAGAGTTTAGAATTATCGTTGTTAAACGTTATTACAAATTGTTTGAGTTCTGTAAAGGGCAAAATAATAGATGCGACAAGCTTTGCTTAAAATTTGAAAAAAAAAAAAAAACATACATATAGATAAAACACGTTGAGATTTTCGTCGGTGTAGCAATCAGCAGATTAGCTTTGTCGTGAAAACGTCAGGGCGAGAATCCAAAAAACTTCGGTTCGATTCCTGCAACCCGATAAAGTTATCCTACATTTTTTTCTAAAATTTTCTTTGTGCAATCTATAGTATTAGGAATGAACTCAAGTACTTCATTACAATATATTTTTTGCTTAAAAATGTTTAAAATAATAATAGCTTCATATTTTACTTTTTACTGAATGTAGTCAAATAATAGCGGTGACTAATAAAATTAATTTGTGGGTGTTCACTACTTTTAAAAGCGTTAATTTCTATAAGGCGGTATGCACACCAGGTGTATGCTATATTTAAAAAAGAAATGTCACTAAACTCTTCATAGAATAGTCTAATGTCACGGAAAACAAACATTATCGTAATCATTACAGAACCTAATTTAAGAACATTAAAATTAATACACAATAACATACTAGTATGACGAAATTATTTGTTTTGCGTATAAATACCTCACTTTACATTGTGTTGAGAAAAGATTAAGATTACATACTGCATGAATACCTTCTTTAAAGGAACAAATCCGTAGTTATTTCTGTATGTATTTATAGAAGTAATGTTAAATAAAACGATGGCGTTTCATTAAACATTATTTTATCTGTTTTATAATCAAACATGCCTTGATATTAAGTTCATGTAAAAAGTGTTTAAATAGTCTAAGTTCATTATAAGGTATTACATGCTACGAAGTAGTTATTTCAACGAATAAAGCTACATACGCAATTAACTTAACATTATTATTATGATGTATTTAAATTTATCAAAGGCCATAAGATTGATGTATACGATTTATGTATGACCGGTAGGAACTGTACTGGACTATGGATGGAGGATAGTTCTAAAGACTAATAAAAGAGGAAACATTTTCCAACAAGCACATAAAGAAGACCACTCTTGCGTCCCTTTTTTTACCTGACCTGTGGCCCTACAACACTTAAATAAGTTAAGTGTTTTAGGGCCACGCAAAAATTCTAAATCCTACAGGCAGCAAATGCCCATGGGCGGCGGTTATTACATAGCATCAGGTGAACCGTCAGCTCGTTTACCACCTTCACATAAAAAAACTAAATGTCAATTATCAATGGCCTGAATCTATTTCTAGTTGAGAGGTCAATATTCCCCTATATATTCTCAAAGGTTAAACCTGTTAAGGTAAAATGTTAAGGGTCGGGCTCTTCAGGTAAATTTTGAAAAATACTGCAATCAATTTTAAATTGATGTTTGTCTGATCCAACGTCACGATATCCAAAAAAAGAAAGTTGCAACATTAGGAACATGGATAGGATAGTTGTAAAATTTCATTCTGTTTCGGCCCCTGAATCCCGTTTGGAGCAAATTGGAGGCGATAATCGTAAATGTTCAATTAGTGTGGTCACATGTGCCATAGGACGTTAGGGCTAGTACTAAACTGAATCTATTACATAATCGAAGGCAACGAAATCCTTTTTATGATCAACTTCTATTTTTTTAACGGTTTCTATTATTTAGGCGAATTTTAATAAAACTGATTAATGTCGAAATATATACAGTTCTTCAGTTTAACTAAAAAAATATATTTATTAAAACATACTATTAATCTTTACATAAAATTTTGTGAGGACGCATAAAAATAACAAACGGCTAAACGTTTGATATTTAATACGGTAACAATTCTCTAGACTAAATGGTCCAGGACTTGAGCAGCAGTTCCCAAAGTGCGCCAACTCTGACATTCTGTCCTGGCCATTGTTTCGCATTAAATAACATGCATAAGATATTGTTAAAAGGGTTTTTGCCGATTTGGTAATGATGTCGATACCTTTTATAAAAATATCGCCGAAATTAAAATACCGTAAGTAAGTTAAATAAATTAAACATGATGATGTTAATAATTGCCACCACCTATGGACACCTAAGACAACCACCCAGATCCTAAACTAATATTTGTGGGTAACACAAACAGTTCTCTAATGTGTGACACTTACCCACGACCCCAGGCGCTGAAAGCCTTTTTTTAGACTTGTCTTGTTACATTTGACAGATTGTGAAATCGAGAATAGCCACCACCCATGGACACCTAAGACAATACTGAGCTGAAGATGCACCGTTTTAAGGTTGGTAAGTAAGTAAAAAACCTTTTCACACACTGGCAACACCAGAAACGTGGCTACCGTTCCCAAAATAATAGATGGTAAACTTTCGAATGATGTACCCATTCAGGTAATAGCAACAAGCACTTAAGGTTCTGCTTCTCGTCGGTATTTTGGTATTAAGGTAGAGTTGTCAGGGCCACAGAGCTCCTTACCTTACACTTTCACCGATACTTTTTATAAGACAACTAATACTATAAATTCGACAACTTAGAAATAAAAAATAAAAATTGTAGTGAACCAAATTGTGAATCTAAACCATTCTCTAATCGACCTGAAGACACACAAAAACTTTCATTAAAATCGGTCCAGTCGTTTAGGAGGAGTTCTGTGATATACACACGTACAGAAGAATTTTATATATAAAGATTTTTATGTTCGTTCAGATTATTATTAATTTTGTAAGCGAATTTGAGTTTGTACGTGTGTTTTAATGTTTGAATAAAGTTACTCAAACGCTCACTGCGTTAGTATATAAATATTTATCCACTATCGAGAATAAGTCTCTCTTTCTTTAAGACAGATTAAATTCCTTGTACTAATTCGTAGCTATTACACTCAATACATAATGAAATGCATGTTACTTTTATGTATGTTCACGGTTCCACGACATATTGGCACGAAAGTGAAAATCAAGCTTTATTACTCAAGTCCAATCATTCTACCGTTCCAATCATTCTTTTAATATATATTACTGATTGATCCATGTAGCAATTGTATCCATGCTTGTATCAGCTGTTTACATATTTGCTAAGAATAAGATATTTAAGTTGAAACCTAAACACATTTAGTTATTAAGTGATGTTTTTAAAAGTGATGATTTTGTCACAAATTAATAGAAACTTTAAAATGTATGAAGGATATGGGTTTGACTACGGAAATATTTCTATTTTATGTTCATTTGATTCGTTTCACTAATTTTATAATAATTTTAGTTCATCAAAAATTTCCATCCTTCTTACTCATTAAGAAATGTAATTGCAAGTAATTTTTCTTAAATTCCGTATTATATTAAATCGCATGTTTCTAATTATTCTATTTTCATTTGTTTTTTCATTCGGCCTAATAAACGTATTGAAATTTTTAAAGTGCCTTGATGTTAATTTTATATGTAATTAATTTATACCTTTAAAGTAAAGTGACGGAAAATGTTGACTAAGAGGTCGACAATAAGTAATACCATACCATAAACCAGTTCTCTGGTTACCGGATTACTTCTCAATAAAATTGTAAAGCCAATTGCCGATTTATCACGTACTTAATGGTACAGATATCATGGCGCCGGATACATGGCTGTTTGAAATTTAATAAAAAAGGAAACAGTTATAATTGTTACTTTTCTTCTCTTTCATTTTACTTGCTATACAAAGAACAGAGTAACATATTTACCGTACTTACAAAACTCACCACGCTCCACTCAATCTAACTCATATACATAATTCGAGGCGTTACATTAACACTGAAACGGGCTCAAATAAAATGACGAACGGTCGCTTCGTTGCGTTAATTTTTAAACATCCATTTAACCAAAGGTTCGCCGTGAAATTATCGCCGTCCGCGATCGGCCGGGCATAACTCATACAATAATTCGTATAATTCAGATCTTATCGGGTCGCCTTGATATGCATGAGGTTCTAATAAACCCCGAAGACCAAATCAACGCCGATCGAAGTTGGCCGCGTTCAGGCGCCGGCGGGAGGCGGGTCACCCGTCTGGGTCACGTGGAAATAAATACGACGCACGCGAAGTTTACAATCCATCGCTGTAGCGCTGCCGCCCGCTTTGCATTTGTATTTGTACGTATTAAGCAATGATGCCAGCCGCCTCTCTATTATATATCATACACAGATTAGTTAAATATTATTAAAATAATTCAACGTAATTCATCGTTGAATTACCCTGTGACTTTGACTTGACAAAAGAATTTGAATTGGGAAAAGCCAAAGCATTTTACACTTTTTTTGTCCATTGTTAAATAGCGTAAAAACGTTAGTACGTCTTTTTTGTATAGTACATATTCGTTTAAATAAGGCTATAAATATTGTCGTGTGTACAT